GGGGGTATTGTAGTTGATTTAAGTGCTGTGACATGCAGATCAACGGATGTAGCAACACTTACTGGAGTCTGTCCGAAGAAACTTTAGCGATACAAGTCCTTTCTCAAATAAAACTGGTTTATTCTTTCTAAATACATCTTTGCAATACACTTAATTTCCACAGTCGCGCTATAACAAACGCTATAATTCACAACAAATGTCTCACGTGCTCGACTCAACTGTCAACTACACATTGTTGTCGTCACTTCTTGGCGGCTTATATATACAAGACTACCGCATATCTAGTAGCCTCTCGAGACTTCAGGAAGGGACGTGAACGTTCGAGAATATGACGTGTTACTAGCGTCAGGTGACCCCCGCTGTCGTAACAGTATTATAATATTCATTCTGAATGTGCAGATTTCACATAATCGGTCAAAAACAGTTAAGCTGATCTTATTTCAAGTTATCCTTGTATCCAAAGTGGGTAATACCTGTTACTGTCCATGGAGAACATTGCTTAATATAACTTTGTATAAGACTGTCAATAGCAGTGTCCTTCAAAAGTTGTTCATAAGCTATCTTGAGGTTATTGCCTCACCTATGTTGTAACAATGACCAGCTGGTAGTGCATATTGCTCTGGGTAAATGCAATGTTGTTTAAGGAATCTGGTATTTCTGAAACTTTTCCTTCAACTAGTTGGGAACATCACTGAATGTAGTCTAGTAGAACTTTGTCATCACTGGTGTGTCCAGTGAAAGTGACAGTCAAATGTAAGTAAACCACGAGTGCACACACTGTTTGTGTATTAATAAAGATTGTTCATTTTGTATTTCCCTTTGTACCCAGTACTTCGCATTATATCAACTTGGTTTAGATTGCTGATCAATAACTGTTAACTTTTATACAAACCACCAAATATGGTTAAACTCCAAGAGTTAGTTTTTCAAAACCTTAAATACTTATTTTTCAAGTATATTTAAAGCATATTTAGAGATGTTAAATAGGCTTACAAAAAAACTTCATAAATCAATATTAGAATAACCTTTTTATTATTATTACTGTGAAAGGACTGTTTATCATCAAAAACAAAATTACACCATAATGTACAACCATGTATCTCATCCGTATAGTGAACTTCTGTTGCTTATACATTTAACAGGATTTTATACTAAATTCATATTTACTAGTGATATACCCCTAGTTTTAATTATAGCATCTTGTTGGAGAAGAGGTCATATAAAAAATATTCAATAAATTTCAAATATAAATTCCTAAATTTTAGATACGTCCTTTCCACATTTGTTACAGTACTTAAATTTTTTGTTTAAAGACAACACGGTTTCTTACTCTAAAATGTTTAACATGTTACTGTGAAGAAATAGTTTCATCAGTGTTTTTCCACAAGGCTTTTGAGCTAAAATGTAGAGAAAAAATTCTTAAATTCTCCAAATGTAACTTCCATTTAACTTAACAATTCTATATAGTAGCTCCATTTTTTGCCAAGCTTTGTCACAAGAATATTTTGCCAGCACAGGAAAGATAACAACAAAAAAAATCTGTTGGAGCTTTCATTAGGTTTTTTTTTTTTTATTTCATTGGGGAAGAGAAATGTTTTTACAACCTAGTCTACTGTACCTTCAGTTCTTGCTATGTAACTAGACACAATAATACATAAAAAGTGCAAATATTTCAGGTAAATTATTAATCTTTAAACAGTGAAGGTTTATTATGTATTTAAGCATAATTACATAATTTCCCTTCACATGAGTCACCATGTTTCTTCTGATGTCTGTCCAGAAGAAATAGCAAAGTATTCCTGTAGAGAAAGTCTAATAAAACAAGTGGTAGACCTCTACTGGCAGAGACCAAAACAAATGCACTAAAAAAATACTTGGCAAATTCTTACTTGTTAAGTCCCTACCTATAATAAGTTGTCGTACAGCTTAACAAAAGGTTCTTAAATAGAATTGGGAACAAAATTTTGATCAACTAAATATATTTCATTATCAGGTAAATAATTAACACGTAAGGCATCGATGGGGAAGTTTCAAGTTGAAAGTGTGTACAAACAAATGAAAACTTCCCCTGTTTGTTCAGCACTTGAAAATGCACATTCATTGTAGATTTTTTTTTTTATGGTATATTATAGTAAAATACCCAGGCTTTGATGTGGGATTTAAAAGCCTTCTCATGATTCACAGAAGCCAATTGTACTGACCAAGCTTCTCCAGTAACTACTACATACCTGAAAACAAACTCAGGACATTGATATGTTGCATGTGTGCCACATATGGTCCTGCTAGCTAGTAAGTGGGGAGAATATGAACACAGTTCCAAATGTGGCACCCTTTGGTATTGGGGGGGGGGGGAGTATATCTCCATCACACCTAGGAGGAGTTTACAGACAAAGAAACAACAAATGCAAAATGTGAATTAATATAAAATTTAGCTTAAAAAATCAGAACTATTCATTTTTGTACTACACAGAAAATATAACTTACTTTAATGGCAACATGAAAATATATTCTGAATAGATACACATGCAAAATATGGCAGCATGTTTTTCATGAAGAAGTTAAATTTGTATTTCAAGTTATATAAATCCTGTTTACACATAATCATGCACAGTTCAGAACATATTACATACGATACTTCAAGGCTTGAAAAATAAAATTAGTACAGCTAAATAATGAACATCAAACATATAATGCATGTTTAAACAAATGAGAAAAAGCCACAAGTATAATTAATATCAAATCATGGTTTTCAAAAATTAAGTTTTCCATTGTGCCAAATTATTTTCCTTGGCACTTGAGTTAAACTGTAAGATAATAATAGTTTAAGTTAAAAGTTATGTCATTGAAATAATCTGCAAAAAAAACATAATATGTATAACTATAAACTATCAAACACCCTTTAATTTTATTAATACATTATCAGTATATTTTTTTCTCTTTTAGGTTGTTATATTTCAAAAGCAAAAACAATTTTATCTTTTCAGATATGATGATACCCAAATGTAAAAATGGAATGTACCATCATTTAATAAATGGTGTGAAGAGATCTAGTCACACAAACTAACAGTGGTGGCACCATTTATCCAGCATCATACCTTAACTCACATTTTAATTTCAGATAACTCCATTACTAATTTGTTTTATGTAATGCCAAACCAACACCAACTGTTTTTAAATTATATAATGCTAAACAGACCATTTACACAGTGTTTATGTTACTTTAAATAAATGTACCCAAAACAATCAGAATTTTTATCCTGTATTTATCCCAATCAAACAGATAATATTTATGGTAAAATTACTAACTACCAGAAACTTTAATAATAATAGAGAAAATACTTTAAACATTTAACATTAAAATATTTACTTATAACTGATACATTATAAATTTATGCATAAACAGATAATGTATTTAATGAGAAATAGTAAATGACTTTCATAATCTTCTTTTATTTTCTTAAGCATGTCCTGCAGAAGATAACCAAAAACTTGTACAAACATTAGTATTTCTTCCCTAACAATAATGCAACAATTTCTGCCAATTTCACTTTAATCTGTAACTGTGAGGTACATACACAAACAAAACAATGAATAAATCAACCCATTTCCACATACATACTGCCTTCTTTTCATGATTGCACTTCAACAACTAGAAAATAAAATAACATTCCATCTTTTCTGACTATAACGTGAGGACCTTACACAAAAAAATGTTTACAACTATCAGTTTGATACATGGTGTATACAAGTTGATTACAAGCAAACAATACTATTTCTTTATAAGCTGTGGTTTAAGGACTACCAAGCTAACAATTAACAGAAATATTGTTCCTTCTTACTATTTGAAAGTAAACCAGATCACTTTTGATGCAGATTTTTTGTTTTCAGACAGTCTCTATACAATATGCTTGACAAAGTTTTGTTTTGAAAAATTATTTTTCTTCAGAGCATGCCTTCATACAGGTCTCAGAGTCAAGTGAAATGATCTCAAATTCCTTTCTTCAGTTTTTATACATGTTTAAACACATAGGTGTAGGTAGGTGCTACATTTTGACAAGAGTTTATTAGGTGTTTGAGTCATAATTATAACATGTACTGGAAAAATTTAGTTACTCAAATCCCTGTAAAATATTTAACGTATTATGACTGACTCCTTGAAAAAAAAGAGAGAAATTAATGTTTTACAAGATAACTTTCCAATAAAGTTGAAATCAGCACTGATGAAACAATATCAAAATTATATGGATACTATTTTCAACATTTCACGTGTACTCTTCAGTTCAAAATTTATTTGTGGGAGAAACACATGCACTGCTTATTTTATAACAGAAGTTCCAATTCCTTGAACGGCTTATGACATCAGAAAGGGGTTCAACTTACACTTACCTTCAATTGTGTCAAAGTTTGGCAACATTTGGATTAACAAACTCTTCAAGCTATAGTCACTTTTTCTTGTGCCATCATTAAGAAGTGGTTAATACAACAGTTATAACTTCAATGTTTTTAAGAGCTTATAGAATTCATCATCACACAACCCTTGATGATGAAGTTGAAAATATCTATACAATTTTTGAATGACTGCAGTACCCTATAGGATTTATCAAAAATGCTCAAGAAAAAGCAAGGTAGACATTCTTTAGAAATAATACCAGCAAGCAGCATTCCTCCCCATGTAAAAATAAAATACTTACTATTATCTAAAATTCTAATATTATGGGTTTAGAGAGATGCCTAAAAATGAACAATTTCAAAGTTGTTTATAAATATCCCAACACCATTAAAAATTTCTTATCCTCAAAAAAGTCTGCACCTCAAACTAAAGAACAGGCTGTCTATATACACCCCTTCCAAGTAGGTAATAAAGTATTATATTGGTGATATGGATAGAAATTTGCATACTAGAATCATGGAGCACAAAAAAGATATTAAAAATGGTCAAACAAACACTGCTGTTTTTCTACAAATAAGATTATTTGATCATAAAATAAGCTGGGAATCAGGCAAACTAATATATAAAACTATAAATTATGTCAAATAAAGAATTCCAGAAAGTTAGTTATTGAAAAGGTTGCCAAACTTCAACACAACTGAAGGACAATGCAAGTTGAACATTAAAGCTGACAGCTGAAATGTTTGCAAAGTTTCTGTTGAAAAATTCTATTTTCAAACAAGTTTTCTTATAAACAATAGAACATCCTTCATTAAATAAAGTAGAGAGAAAAAAAAAGCAATATTTTCAAGTAGTTTCTAATAAATTTTCTATGTACATATACCACAATACTGTTCATTAGAAGTGCATCTAGTTGCAAGGCTATTCCTACTGCTTGTTCCAAATTACTTACATTACAACTATTAATAAAGCATACAATTACAAAAATACCATTTTACACAATATTTCTCAACTTGAAAGTTTTGCATTGTTATTATTTATTTCTTTAATTCACTTTACATTTTATATATAGTTAAAGCACATCTTAACCCTGATACACATAATATCCAGAACAGAAACAGGTGACAGCACTGAATTCAATATTTGATCAAACCAGTAATTTGAATTAACAAGAACAATTTCCTTGTCATAATCTCATTACACTAGATACCTTGCATACATTAAAGAGTTAACATAAACCTAAGACACACCTATTTCTAGATTACACTATAAAAACAATCAGCTTTATGTCTGCAAAGAATTTAAAAAGTACAGTAATATAACAAACAAATTACTACTATATATATATATATATATATATGTGTGTGTGTGTGTGTGTGTGTGTAGATACCCAATTATTGAAAATTCAATATTTCCTTGTAATAGGTATTTTTCAAAATGTAACTATGTTTTCATTAATTAGTTCTGTAACTGTTTAATATCAAATATATTATAAATTACTAATACTTTTCATATAATTAACCAACAACAACACCTGAATTGACACAATTTCAAACAAGTATGTGCACGTACAGGTAGTCAAATCTGGCTGATGTTCACGTGTAGTCAAATCTGGCTTACGTAAAACACAGAAACTGTCAACACTTTCGCAAAACTGGAGCATGACCTTAACCCACTTGCCACTGCAACAGAGGTAAAAAATACCTTTTAAAAAATACTTTTAACCACGATACAATCTGTTTTAAAGACAAAATGCATCTGTACATAACTGTATAAAATATGTTTAGGGAAAACCTTGGTATACCATAAACTTCCTAAATTGCTCAAAAGAATAATGAATTTATTTTATTTCTTAATCTTTCTTTATATGTCCTTTTACAATTTTTTTTTCATATCTGGTATCCATGCATATGATTTTGAGAATTTCAAAATTATAAGATTAAATATAATATTACCATCTGGTGGGCAAAGAAAGTGTTATTTTTGTGTGAGGTTTTTCCCAAGAATGCACAGTATTTCTTTGTACGAGTATACATTTACAATAACCGAGGTTGAGTGTCTCTTCCATACATAAGGACAAATTTCCAAAGTTCATTGAGAAATGAATGAGGAATTTCTTGTCCCTTATCTACTCAATATTCTCTTTGTAAAATATAAAATAAAATGAATAAATTACCAGCACCATGAGGACAGTTCACTGTAACAGTAGGAAAAATCTGACATATCAGGAGAAATACTTTCCCCTGAAAAGCAGTAGTGTTTATGAGAGAAAAAAAGTTCTGACAAACCATGAGAAATGTGTGTGTGTGTGTGCTGAGAAGCAGTAGTATTAATGATATTATGAAAAACCACAAGAGAAATTTATGTATATGTGTGGGCTGAAAAGCAGTTGTGTCTATGACAGTAATAAAGGTCTGATGGGCTAGAAGAAACAATTATGTATGAATGCCCGTTGATATTGATGGTAACTTAATTGGAAAGATCAATGCTTTAACTGTTACAATAAGAAGGGCAGTTTAAAATGTTTGCAAAGAAAACTTAGAATTTCCTTATTACAAGTATAAAATACAGTTCAAGAAAAACTTACTTGCAAGTTTCCTTCTTCTCTACCTTTTTGTTCCATAGCTGCATCTACTGCTTCCTGTCTTTGCTGCTGTCGTTTAACTTTCTCAGGGTCTTTAATTCCACGAGCCTCTGCTTCTTTTTTTCTCTGTTCTGCTGCAGCAGCCAATTGCTGTCTCCTTACCGCCTTAAACAAGGTTCAGGTTATATTAGAGATCTGTGTTTTCCAGTATATATTTAGAACTTATTTACATCAATCACATAATCACTTTAGAAGTATCCCAGGTTTTGATAATAGTCCTATAAACACATGGTTGGCCGGGTACTGTAACATATCAACTATAAACATTTTTCAAAGAAATTTCTAGATTTGTAATAAAATGTTGTTGTTGTTGTTTACAAAAATTGCTTGCAGATTTAGTAAAACCATGAAACATATGGCATCAACAATTGACATTTCAGCAATTCTTAAAACATTAGAGAAGTTATTTAACCATTACATGCATATGAAATTTGTTTACAATCATCCACTGTCTTTTCAAAAAAAACTTTAATAAGCCGCATCAAATAAGTTAGTAAGCTGGATGTTAATGGAACTGATGAAAAGTACACAAGTGGACAGAAGATCATGGTAGAAAACAAAAAGTACTGGGTATTTTCTGATCAGAAGAGGTAATTTCTTGGGATGAAAAAAAGTTACATATAAATGGAAAATAAAGTTTAAGAAAACAAAATAACAAACATGGAATTCTGCCCCTACAAAGGTAGAAATATGTGGCATTTTTCTCTGAATTTGTTAAATTACACAGGGTACAAAATCTTGGATAAAAATGTATTTACTAGATTCTTTGGTGTTTTCAAAGATTAAAGTTTGAGATTTTTGTATACTACTGAAATTCGATTGGTTTATACTATGATTTTAGCTCTAAATCACTTCTCAATTAAAATAGGTCATATTTACAACTGTATCTCAACATCACCTTAAATTGTTGTATGTTATTTCAATTATAGTAGAAAGAACCTTTTTTTATATTTACATTTCATACTCTACTCATCCTCTAATTATAATATGTCAACTGGATTGATTCATCCTAATATCATATTAAATAATGTCAAAGTTCTTTAAGAACTTACTCCTTATAACTGTAAGAAGGCAAACAATTAATTAATTACCTATAAGAATTGATTAGCATGACATAAAATAATCGATTAATTGAAATTCTGATTAAATCACATATAATGTCATGAAATTAATCAACTAATCAAAATTAATGTTTCTAATTGTAACTGTTTTTGATTACTCCAACTTTCTAGTTATTTGAAACACTGCCATTATGATTTTTATTTTCAATTAATTCCAATTTGCCATCTTAACTGATTAGTGTTATGACTCATGAAAATAAGCAAATAATCAAAATTAAGGTATATGATTATTACTATTTTTGATTATTCCAACTGTCCAGGTATTGAAAATATTGCCATTATACATTTTATTATTAAGCACAACAGGCTATCTGTGTTCTGCTCACTGTGGGCATCAAAACCTAATTTGTAGCATTTCAAGTTGTTTTTTTTGCCATCTTGTGAAAATAATCAGTTAGTTGAATGTAAGCATTTAATGAGCCCAACAATTAATCAATTAACAAATCCCATCAGTTGCCCAGTTCTACAACTGAATATATGTCACAGTATTTGTGATGTAATCTAACTGTGCTTTATATGTAAAAAGCTTTCCACTGTTTAAACTTAGCTGGTACAATGTAGAGCATCACATTTTCATCAATCCATCAAGATATAAATGGCTTGAGAGACATATTTGTAAATATATCACAGAATGTTTTTTGTTTACAAAAATAGAAAACTTAATAATCACCCCAACTTTACCTCAAATCAGAATACAAACAATAAAAAATAGTCATCACGGAGTGTTAACTAACTAGTTCAAACTGATGATAAACTTTTATCAAAGTTGTAGTTAATAAAAAATTGGAGAGAAAAACTCATCTGGAAACAGAGCAATTTTCTGACTTGATTTTTCATTTTTTTTTACAGTATTTCATATAAAATTAAATCCCCTCAGTCAGTGGATGATTTGTTCTTAGGTCACCATTATCCAAATAACATAACATTAAATAATACATGAAAATCACAACAGTTAAAAAATGACTTCTTGCTTTGTGCCAAAACAACAACAAAGCAGAAAGCTTTTACACTGGCTGAGATGTAAGCTCAATATATACAACTTACCAAGCTTTCTGGAGAATGCAGTGTCAGTGATAAGCTTATCCAATTTCTTGTAAGTAATAAATCATTTAAGTGTAACAAAATTAGGCTTACAACAGTATAAAGATATGCAACATTAAACATTTGATGTGTTATCATTACTACAAAATACATTACTACAATGCAACATAAAAATATGTTTTCTAAATACTCTCAAATCCTTCTACGAAAATCATCTTCAACTTTGAGTATCAAAGTCCATATCTTTCTTACTCAGTCCCTGGTCCATCCAACAAATATTTGGACAAACTTCTGCTTATAATGTTTTGCACACAAAATTGGTCATACGAATATATCTGCTTTTCAACAGACTTTAAAATGTGTCCAACAAGAGTGTTAAAAAATGATGATTTTTCTTGAAACACATGCCTATGTATTAATTTTAGTTGTGAGTTTCTGGCTCCTCTACTTGAACTATAAGTAGCACTTGGAACATAATTAAATTTTGAAGTAAAAACATGTTGCTTCCAATCTCTGGAAATAAGTCTCAGTTACCTCACTTACAGAACCTATGCATTAGTCAAGGGTGAGCAACCACATTCCAGTAAAATCACTGTGTACAACTTTCATCTGATAAAGTTACTATTAGATATTAAATTTTCATTAGTCATAGTTTTCAACATGTAATAATATGAATTTTGATATACAAAAACGAATGATCAGGCCTAAACAAAACTCTTCAAAATGGTTTTTTTGTTGATATATATAACTGAAATTTATCTATCATTTCATTTTCTTTCTAATTTAACTTGACATAGCACACTTGCAAACTTTTATAATCATACACTTTACCTTATGAAACTGATTTTTAATTTTCTTAATGATTTATTTTACATTGCAATTTATATGTTGTATTTTTCTTGCTGAAATAATGCTGTCATTACTCTAGTGATATCTGATGTACTGCAAAAGAAAGTATTATTTAGAATTTCAAACTGCATCTTTGGTTTAGAAAAATATTCATACAAAAAATTATGGTTTAATAAGACTAAGTAATACAGGAAAAATATTTATGAACTTTGTGTTGTGATAAGTTAAGAAGAAAAAAATCAGACATTCTTTCCTGATAAAAAGAAATGTGGAATATTCATTTATAATCTTAAGGTTTTGTGTTTTTGTCTTCATGCCCAGTGTCAAATTCATGATCAATGTAAGGGAAAATAGTTAAGAACTTTAGCAGTTTATGCTACTATAAAACAATAAAAAAGTTTATGAACTCTACAGTATAATTCCACAGCACGTACAATCAATAATTTGAAAAACCGCGTCATGAAACAAACACTTAGTCCAATACATTATCCATAGGTAATATTACAAATAAAAGTAATAATTATATGAAATAACAAAAACTTAATTCTGAGGAAAATAAACAAATAGTGAATACAGCAACTTACAGGATCAGGATTTGAATATTCATCTGATGACGAACCCTTGAAACATTGCAAGCAAAGTGACAATCCCATTTTGAAAAAGAGATATAAGGAATAATACGTAATCCTTTATAACAAGATGTTTATGTGAAAATCAACAATAATCGCAAATTTTACTTTATTGTATAGTACAATAAAACAAATAGTTTACACTACGAAAAGTCAAGATCGTCCTAATTTAAATATTGTTGTTATAAATATGAACGATAAACACGGGCCTAATATTACGTATGAATGATCAACATACATCTGTCATTACAATGACATGTCATTCATATTTCCAGTTTCATTAAATTTAAAAGCTGTTTTAACTTTTAATTATTTATCATTGTTTAGTTTACTCTGTCACTGTTTTATTACAGTATTACTACTTGTTACACTACTTAGTCAATACTCCTTTTTCTGTTTATTACAAGACGCCTGGTCTGACATCTATTCTTTCTATAACAAACATGGAAAGGTTCAGAATATTTTTACATTGTCAAAACTGGAAACTGAGCGCATTGCTTGGCCTAATATGTTTCTTAAGTGTAATAAAATAAACAAAAGCATAGTAAATGCGTACATAAACAACATACAATGTAACAAACTTCATTTTATATTATCAAAATAACTTTATTAGTCGTTGTTAGCCCTTCCCTATTATTGAAAAGATGACAGAGTTTTGCATTTCCTTTCATCTATGTCCCCCGGTGGGACAGCAGTAAGTCTTCGGATTTACAATGTTAAAATCGGGGATTCGATTCTTCTCGGTGGACACAGCAGATTACCCGATGTCTTTTTGCTATAAGAAAATGCATACATATTTTTCATTTATTTCTTAATTTGTGCTGAACACATCCGCATGGTTAGCATGCTAATCGTGCATCAGAGGCTCTTTTATTTGTGAGTCGTTACAAATATATATATATATATATATATATATATATATATAGGAAAAGTAAAGAAAATCACGCTCCACACTT